AGGTAGTTCTCCAAGCCGGAGCGCTTCCGCATCGCCTCCGCCAGGCGCGGTCATGCCTCGGTGACGGCCGATCAGTCGCTTCTGAAGCGCATCAGGGAGTGTTCGGAGAAGGATCGGGAGGTGGCCGAGGCACTTGAAAAGGTGCAGGACCTCGGGCCGCCCCGGCTGCAAAGGGGTTTTGAGGAGTGGAATGCCGAACAAGGGCTTCTGCTGTTCCGCGGGTGCGTGTACGTCCCAAAGAACGCGGAGCTCCGGCGAGATATAGTCAAAATCCACCACGATTCGCCGATCGCCGGTCACGGCGGTCGTGCCAAAACCCTAGAGCTCGTGTCACGGAACTACTGGTGGCCTGGGATGTCCAAGTTTGTCAATGAGTACGTAAGCACCTGCGACGTGTGCAACCGTACCAAGACATTCCCAGCCAAGCCCCAGGGTCCGCTGAAACCGAACGAGATCCCCGAGCGCCCGTGGCAGATCATCACGACCGATATGATCGTCGGCTTGCCGAAATCTGATGGATTCGACTCGATCCTGGTTACCGCTGACCGCTTTACCAAGCAGGTCCACTTCTCGGCCTGTCATGAGACCCTGACGGCAGAAGGTGCGGCAGACCTGTACATCCGCGATGTGTTCAAGCATCATGGGGCCCCGGCCAAGGTCATATCAGACCGAGGTCCCCAATTCGCTTCGAAATATCTCCATGCGGTGTACAAGGGACTAGGGATCGAGCCGGCACTGTCCACAGCGTTCCACCCTCAGACAGACGGCCAGACTGAGCGCTGGAACCAGGAGATTGAGTAGTACCTGCGCGCTTTCACAAGCCACAGGCAGGATGATTGGGCAAAGCAGTTGCCGCTCGCGGAATTCGCACTGAACAACCGAGTTCACTCTGCGACCGGGCACTCCCCTTTCTTCCTGCATCAAGGGTACAATCCTGAGATCCAAGTACAGATCAATCCGATGTCTGCGATGCCTGCGGCCGCTGATCGGCTCAAGATCCTGAAGGAGATTTGCGATGACACGCGCTCTGCGCTCGAGCTGTCGGCCGAGCGCATGAAGGTGTACTACGACAAGCACGTGCAGGAGGCACCGGTCTTCGTGCCAGGGGACAAGGTCTGGCTTGATGCCCGGAACCTTAAGCTGAAGCAGCCGAGCAAGAAGCTCAGTCCCAAGCGCCTCGGACCTTATGCCGTGCGGCGAAAGCTCGGAGACCTGGATTACAAATTAATCCTGCCGAAGTCGGTGCCGGTGCACCCGGTATTCCATGTCTCCTTGCTTAGCAAGTACACGCGTAGCGATATCCCGGGCCGGGAGCCGGAGGAGCCACCTGCGATCGAGGTTGAGGGCGACGAGGAGTACGAGGTTGAGCGGATCAAGGATTCGAGAATCTTCAGGCGTCAGCTACAGTACCTCGTCAAGTGGAAGGGTTATGACGACTCGCATACGTCATGGGAACCGGCGCGCAACATTGCCAATGCGCCGGCCCTCATAGCCGACTTCCACCGGAAGAATCCGAACGCCCCTCGCCGCCTCAACGCTGCTACCTTTGGTGGTCTCAACTTCCAGCCAATGCCTTCGCCGCTGACTGAAGCACGTTGCCGCTCTGGGTGGGAGATGGGCAAGGGCGCCTCGCATGAGGTCATGCGCCGTTGAGGGGGGGGTAATGTCACGAATTGGTACGGCGCCTAGCTGTTTTTTAAATTTTTTCCTTTTCGCGGGCTCGAACCTGCGACCTCTGTACTACCTGCCTGATATGGACACGTCGGTATCTACTGTACGATTAGATTTGATAGGACGGCAGTGCACGGCACAGCTCGGGCCCCGCTGACGCAGCCGCTCTGACTCACCGGCCCCCAGGGCCGCGTCGGCATGCTGTGCACAGACCAGCTGCGCACGGACCAACGCGCACAGCCTGCCCTAAATCTTCCCATGTATATAAACCAGCCTCTGCTGCCCTAGGGACCTCAGTTTCGACCTCTTGTCCCTAGGTCAGTAAGCTCTCCTGTACTTACCTCTTTTACTTACTAACTAATACATTCTTGTCCCTAGCCTTAGGTTTGAGCATAGCTCACCATCGCTTCGGTGAGACTTAGTCGGATGCCCCCAGCCTTCAAGTTTTCTCTAGTCGCTTGACCTCAAGTCGCGACACTTGTCCCTAGCCTTAGGTTTGAGCCTAGCTCACCATCGCTTCGGTAAGAACTAAGTCGAACGCCCCCAGCGCCTTGTTTGGTTTTCCTCTGTCGCTTGACCCTAAGTCGCGACAACGGTGGTTGACGAGATGCTGACAAGGGAGCGCACATTCGACAATGTGTGTGCAAAGCTGCTGAATGAGGAGACGAGGCTCGGGAAGCGGTGGGACAATGGCAAGGTGACTCTCGCCAATGTTGCGGCTTCAGGGGGAGCTTCGGGAGGCAAGGTGACGTGTTTTCGCTGCGGGAAGGTCGGGCACATTCGACGCAATTGTCCGGACAACAGGACTCATGCGAGCTTGGTGGTCGTGGAGGATGTCTTCGCGTTTTGATTGGGCGTAGGCTAACGGCAGCTCGCTTGAGGGGGAGTGTTGACTTTTGGGTATGTCGGGCAAGCATCGCTGCCGGCCCGGGTCACGTGGTCGTGCGCCGGTGTGGGAATAGGACTTATGTAGGCGTCGCGCGCCGTAGGTAGCCCCATCGGTTTGTAACCTGATCCACCATTGATCCCTGTCCATCGAGGACGTTGGCTGCCGGCGGTCTTTCCGGCGTCGTTCTCACATAGGATACACCTAGTTATGGTGGCGGTGGCACGCTGACATTCAAGCCATGAACACACATTCTTCTACATAATCATGCATACGTCATCGTCATGATGAGCGACTAGCATCAGCATCAGATGAAACACCGTTGTATGACGCACGAGAATACTATCATCATGATCTCCATAACTAAATGAATCATTACCACTGGTATTGTTCCTGTCTCAGTCTAACAAGGACAATAGAAGCTGCTCTCATATAGATAAATGTACAATCGGAAGTGCGAGCCCTCAAATCGAGCCCTCAAATCCAGGTGCTTCTTTTTTCCACAATGTCAGACTACAAGTTTCCAACACCTAGCAAGCAGCAGCAGCAATCGGTCGAGGACTTGAGGTGGCCGGCTGCTACACAATATACTGCACTACAGTTCCTTGGACACCAACCCAGTGCCTTGGAAAGATGGAAGTTCCAAGATGCAGATAGCTACGACAGTGCACAAGGGAATTCCATCTATGCCGGTGATGCGGTTCAACTGAAGGAAATAAATATCGAGCATGCTCTGGTCAGAGAATTTAGAACCACTGTACGGTCCGTACTCGGAGACAAATGGACATGGAGTGAAGAGAACCCCGTCGTTCATATAGTCGGACGAGAGGGCGACGTTGCGTAAGCTCCTCTGTCAGTAAATAGTGAAGCATGCTTGACAGCCTGATTGGCAGTGTCCATTGTGTTTCCCAGGTCCTTTTGCCTGCCATATATGTGATTAACAAACTATTTGCGGAAGCACGAGGCGACAAGCCGCCGATTGCGGTCACTCTAAGGGGGCAGCTACCTATGCCGAATGATCCAACCTGTACTGTGGACCATGCCCTTGTCATTGATTCCCATCAAAGAATTGAGCCAGATCCTACTATATTGGTCCTCTTCGAAGAGAAGGTATGGTTTCTTGATGATAAATACATAAACAATCCACCTAGTGCATACCACACCAATTCATTCGGCAGGCACTGGGAAGCATGGCTTCATGGAACACCTCTCTCAAGGATCTCAAAGATCAGCCAAAGAAGCTACAATCTAAAGTAGATACGGCAATGTATATGCAGTTACCACAGCTGCGCAAGTGAGCAAATATCTTGAAGTACATAGTTACAGATGCTGACTCAGGTTCAAGGTATGTCTTCGGCGCGAAATGCGTGTACGCTCTAGAGTCAGATGGAGAAACATACATAGGCATGGTATGGGATCGTCTCAACGCTTGGAAGAGCGGCATGACATTAGATCAGATGCCTGGTATTGGCGGTCTCATCAATCAGAACTCACACGCACCAGGCATGGCACATACGGCCCGTTATTTCTTGACGAAGATCGATGATGTCGCAGTTCAGGGGCCTGTCAAAGAATATCTTTCGCCGCGGGAAATGGTCGCCCTGTACTGCTACAATGCTCTCAGAGATCGAGGATATTTGTAGGTATAAGATGTGATATCGAGTTCTGGAGCCTGTCATGAAAGTTGAACAGGATTGTATGACATTGAGTACTTTGTAAAGGCACCAAGTGAGATGCTCATTGCTCGGATAAACGCAATCATTGTTGGAACTTGATATTGTGGCGAGCGCACGCAATCGTATTTGGTGTTGCTTGTAATACCTAGACTTTGCGCGAGCTGTTCTGTACGTTCCTTACGTGTTTAACAAAGCTCAGACAAACGCGAAATATCTTCGTCGATCGTTTTCGCGTCGGGTCTCGAACGAACATTGTCAATCATCACTGAGGTAATCGATTCGTCTGCCTAGGTACTGATTGAATAGCTCTGCTGACAACACTTCAGTCGGAGCTATTTATACGAACAACTAAGGCAACATTGTCCGCAAAATTAGTACATCCCATATAGATGTAACGTAGCATAGTTCGACCCGCGCAACAGGTTTATACATACCGTCATCGCCTTCTCAGCTCGCGCACAAGCCGAACGGTCAAGATGAACGCCACTGCCGCAGCGATACCGCCCAGTCTGCGACCGTCAATTTCATCCATGAACATCAACGCTGCGTTACAATTGGTGGAGGACTGACCGGAAGACTATCGCATACGAATTTGGCGCGTCTGCGGTCTCATCTCGTACGCTTATAATGGTGCTGGTAGCAGCCGTGGATGAGGGTTCAGCTAATGATGTGCTGTTGACGACGGGGGCGGACGGCGTATGCCCGCCGAGCGCGCTCTTCCCAGGCTCGAGGAACGCGAAAATGATGGACGCAATGCCCGTCATGATGAATTGCGGCATGACGATGAAGATGTTGTGGATGCCCTGCGCATTACCATATGAGCGTCTAGTTCCAGACTAACCCCGTTCGAGCGTGGACTTACGATAATGATGCCCGCCTTCGCGGCCAACCCGCTTCCGCGCCTCCCACCCGCAACAACCCCAAGGTCATCGATGTCTGATTGCACGTCCAAATGGCTCGCGCGTGCAAAGGCGTTCCCCATAAACTCCTCTTGACGCACACGTAGCCCCTGTGCCTCGTGACCCCGCTCCTGCGCGTCCATTGACGCCGAGGACCGGAACGAGCGCACCTCGGCCTCGAGTCCCTCATCCTCGTCGTCGCTACCAACGAGGAACTGTCGCTCGGGGTCTGCAGCAACTGACGCAGGGTCCGGCGAGCGCCGTGTGCGTGTGTCGGCGAGCATGATAGACCCAGTATCTTCTTTGGAGTCGTCCGAAGTGAGGATCGCTTCCGCGAGCTGGAGAGCTATCAGTGGCGGAGCGGGGGATATGAATGAGCATTCGTACTAAGGAAAACGGTGCCCATTGTGTGATCGACCACGAGAACCCAGTGAGCGCCGTGAAGAATGTCGCGCCCGCGACAGATGAGTAAAACCTGCAAAGAGGGATGGTTAGCCTCCATGATTTGAAACGTACGGAATACTCACAGCGTTGCCGCCATGCATGTCGCGAAGATGACGTGTGAAAGCGCCCAAAGCGTTGCCAAGTGCACCTTCATGCGCTCGAGAACAGCCCATATGCCACGCCGCGGCAGACCATGCGCGGATTCAGCGACAACGAAGGGGAGGAGCACGTTCGCAGTGAGGCTGAGTAACGCGCTGTAGAACATTGCGCGCGAGCCTAGGCGAGTGGCCTCCGCGGTAAGATCAGGGTCATCTGGTGCTATGTCGGGATGCGCGCGTTTATGTAGCTCGCCGATGAAAGCAGTCGTGTAGAACAGAACAGGGAACCACCCGAGCCATGCGCTGTGACCACAATACGAATTGGGTGAGGATCAGCTAGCAAAGGTATACGAAACTGACAAGAATTGGATTATGCACTACATAGAAGGTGAGCAAGCAAACGGGATATTCATTGAGAAGACGTACTATCTGTCGAATGACGGAGGGTAAGTGTAGCATGTTGTCCCAGATGTCGCGAAGTTCCTTGCGGAAGCTCTTTTTCGGACCGCTGCATCCAGTGTCAAAGCACTGTTGCAATCTAATGGAACTACGGCGTACTTATGATCTACGACGACCCTTTCTTTTGTGCATACTGCTGTAATGACGTGCATTGCCACGAGGAGAAAAGAGCCGAGTACAGAGAGGACTTCAAGCTCTGTGTCACCCAGGAAGCGGAATGCAACAGTCAGGTCTATGTTTCCACTACACGTAGTCACGGTCAGCGAAGATAGACTAAGGACAGTGGATGAAGGTGCGAACATGAAATACCCGGCAACACTACCAATGCCGAGCATACGCGCCGCCCAAGCGTTGCCGTCAGCCTGATCCGACGGTGGGAGCGTGTCAACCAGGAGCGCGCGGTCGACCGCTTGAACTTGCTCAGCGAAGTGTAAGCAAACATCCTATAGGTTGCACAAGAGGAGCATCATACAGGGATGGCGCACCTGCATTTATGGAGAAGTCGATGGTGAACAGGGCTAAGATGGCGAGCCATACGGCAAGGATCTGATTCTGCAGACAAGGGCCGCGTCAGTGCGCATACATGCTGGGGCCAGGGAGACGGACCGCGAGGGAGTCGGAGGGAGTGAAGAGGCTGGCAAAGGGGCGTGTAAAGCCGAGAAGGAGCATGGCGACGACGCATATGCAGGTGCCAGCTAGCATATACGGACGACGCCGGCCGAAGCGGGACTTGGAGTTGTCGGCGAGGACGCCTGCGGTGGGTCAGACGCCCGTGTACGTGCCAGGGTGAATAGACGACATACCGATGAGCGGCTGCACGATCAGTCCGGAGACGGGTCCGGCGAGAAATACTGTCGCGACGGCAGACTTGGACAGCCCGAGAGAGCGGAGATAGGGAGTCCCTGAGAAGGGAGAAGCTTGTGAGCAATCAGGGCAAAAATGCGTTGGGGGACCACAATTGCTCTGAGATAGCCAGGCAGCGGAGCAGCAACACATCATTCAATTTGTTAAGCAGTGCACATTACGAGTCCAACTAAACCTCACTCTTCCCTGTATCAGAGATCGGACGTTGATCAAGGCCTACAAGACTGCATGATCATAGAATATCAAGTAACGAGCGAGATGATCGCCCGTCCTTGCCGTTTCCCAAGATCCAACATTTCTGGGATGATCATTTCTTGAGCTTCGCGCCAGCACCACACTCTTTCAATGCTAATGACGAGCGAGCGATGGGGCAACCGTACCCACCTTATTAAGACTCACCAGGCGGTCTGTGACTGCGACACATGCCGTTCAATGTCCTTTCAGCTAACTTCCATGACACAGACCGCCTGGGAGCAAGTATTGAAAGCAGCCTACTGATCCGAAGACAGCGACAAGGTAAGGTGTAGTTGAGAACAATGAAGGGGCTGACGATCTCATGGTGTCGCAAAAAGAGATCGAACCGAGCTGCAGCAGAGCCACTCAATTTGATGATGCGGAACTAGACAAGCTATGACAAGAACCATCTGGCGAGTGCCAGTCGAGCGCATTGGGCAACGTGCCGTGGGGAAGAGTGATCGTGCGAGCTCGGATGCTGCTACTTCTCTGCCAGCGCCCGTTAACATCTGCATATCGGCAAGTATAGCAGATTCAAGTGGTCCAATGAGTACGAGGAGCAAATGTGGATAATACCATAGGACATTTCTATGGACCAGAAGACTTGCACGCCCAGAAGGCCGATGGTAAGCGTGGGTAACTGTAGCCAGCGAGGACCCAGTATTTTGGCGACACCAGCAAGATGAGAGTTGTTGTCTTGTTCGCCATCCTCTGCGAGCGGGATGGCGGCAAAGCCGGTCATCGGCAGAAGGTGTATCAGTCGAGTGACTGCGGGGAATGGTGTTGATTAGGAGCTACGATTATGTAGTACGAGGTGTCAGCCTGAAGAGCATGCAAGGCCAAAGAGGCGGCTTTAGAGACGCATATAACAGTCAAATGCTAGACTCGGCGCTGCGAAAGACGGCGAGTTGGATGTGAGAGACAACGAGGACGGCGCTGTTCACGACGCGCTCGCACTGGGTATCAGGAGGCTCTATTACATTACCCTCGATCACGGGTGCTCCCCCTGACACTGCTGGGATGGCCTGGAGATGACTCTCTCGCCGCTCATGATTGGCTCCTTGGCGCTCTCTGTCCTTGTGATTCCCCGCTCCATCTCGGCCTCTGCGGCTCTTCTCTCTCTTGTTCACCACCACCACCACGGCGTCGAGCAGCTCTTGGTGATGCAGCGCGTCTACCACCGCAGAAACGCGGTTAGGATCCTAGTGCGCTCTCTACATTCTACACCCAGACGACCTCGCGAACTTTTCGATCCCAGTAACGTCGAACGGCCATCCGACGATGTCGACGTCTGCATCGTCGGCGCTGGGCCTGCTGGTCTTAGCGCTGCCATCCGATTGAAACAGCTTGAACAGGAGAAAGGACGCGAAATACGCGTCGTCGTTCTCGAGAAGGGTGCGGAAGTGGGTGAGTGCTCCTCACATCCTGTCAACTTCGAACTGGCATGGGTCCCGGGTGCCCATGTGATGTTTGCCATGTTTCTGCCAGCTTTGAAGCGCTTGGCCTTCCTATAATTTGGGTCGCAAGAATCACTGGTCTGACTGTCTGCACACCGTCTCTCTGAAGTTGCCTCTATCTTGAAGCTGTATATGCACGCATGCACCTTGCGAAATGTCTGCCCGCCAGCGTTTGCACCTATGCTGATGTGTCAGCGCCCCTCCTCGAGCCGGCTCGATTGCAACGACCCATCATAGCGGCCTCGGCAGATAATCGGCAGCTCTTGCCGCCTGCAGAATGACAGTACTGTGCTTTGAAAGGAAGCCGATGTTCCTCTGCAACCCAAGAACACTTACCAGTCATCTCTCTCTCCCCATCTCTTACGACTCGAACGCGACATTTTGCACAGGGAATGCCCTTGGAGTAGAGCAATGTCCTGGTAGCGGCACCAGTCTGCGGTCGGAGTAGTGTCTACAGGCTGCCGCCAGAGGCTTGATGGCCGTTTGATTGGCGTCAGGCAGTCGTCGCGATGGTTGATACGCCTGGGGCTGGACGGCTCAGGGTCCGCGCCTAGGCCGCTCTGACCAAATGTGTGGATACCTGCTTTTGTGTCGTTTATCAGTTGCTCACGATTTTTTCCTAGAGATTTGTGCCTTAGGGCAAATGTCTGGAGACACTGCCATACTAAAGCTTAACCGGCTCTGAGGCATATCTTTTGTATTCAACGGGGATTTGGTGAACCCGAGATCTGGACATTGTCTTACTCCCTCATCCAATTGCAAACAATCGGCTTCCTGGGCAGACCCACATAGCTCATGCTCCCGGAGATTTGAACTCGTGCTCATCTTTTACGGACAGGCTCGCACATTCTGTCGGGAGCAGTAATTGAACCGCGCGCACTCAATGAGCTCCTCCCTGACTGGCAATCACGCGAGGGACATCCCCTCACGCAGCCCACCAAACACACCTCGATGCGCTTCTTCACGCAATCGCGCTCTGTCCGCATCCCGCAGCCACCCCAGATGGCCAAGCTCGGCACGTATATCCTCTCGCTCTCGCAGTTCACCGCGTGGCTCGGCGGGATCGCAGAGGAGCTCGGCGTCGAGGTGTACCCGGGCTTTGCAGGCGCCGGGCTCGTATACGGCCCGGATGGCGCCGTGCGGGGCGTGCGCACGAACGAAGTCGGGCTGGACCGCACGGGCCGCATGAAGGAGACGTTCGAGCCTGGCATGGAGTTCCGCGCGCGCGTAACGCTGCTGGCTGAGGGTGCGCACGGGTCGCTGTCGAAGGAGGCGATCCGCCGCTTTCGCCTGCGGGAGGGGCGCGACCCGCAGACGTATGGGATCGGACTGAAGGAAGTGTGGCGCGTTGACCCGAAGAAGTATCGCCCGGGGGAGGTTGTGCACACGATGGGCTGGCCGCTTGACTGGCGCACGTACGGCGGTGGGTGGGTGTACCACATGGCAGATGGCCTTGTCAGTCTTGGGCTCGTCATCGGGCTGGACTACGCCAACCCATATCTGAGCCCGTATCGGGAGTTCCAGGTATGATTCTTGCTAGAGCTGCTAGTTGCTCTCCTGATAGCCCCATACCAGCGCATGAAACATCATCCATATTTTGAGGATCTCTTGTCCGGCGACTCCACGCGCATTGCATACGGTGCGCGCACGATCAACGAGGGCGGCCTGCAGTCCGTGCCCAAGCTGCACTTCCCCGGCGGTGCGCTCATCGGATGCTCTGCGGGCTTTGTAAACGTTGCAAAGATCAAAGGCACGCACAACGCCATGAAGAGCGGCATGCTCGCGGCCGAAGCCGCCTTCGACGTCGTTGCCGCACAAGACGGCGCTGCAGAGGAGGACAGAGACGCGGCAGACATGAGCCCCTATGAGGGCGCGCTGCACGATAGCTGGGTATACAAGGATCTCTACGAGGTGCGCAACGTGCGCCCGTCGTTCAACACGCCGCTCGGGATGTGGGGCGGAGTCGCGTACTCCGGCATCGACACGCTGCTCCTGCGCGGGCGCGTGCCGTGGACGTTCCGCAACACGTCCGGCACGAGCGATGCGGCGCACACGCGGCGAGCGGCGGAGTGCACACCGATCGCATACCCGCCGTTCCGCGCGCCGCTGTCGACAGACCTGCTTACGAGTCTCGCGCTGACGGGCACCAATCACGCGGAGGACCAGCCGGTGCACCTGCGCGTGCGCCAGCATAAAGGTGCGCCGGGTGATGCGGGCGCGGAGGGCAGCGAGAAGAAAGCGGGCTTGGAGACCGAGGAGTGGGTGGAGGATGCCGAGGTGCGGCGGGCGCATGTGCGAGCGAATGTGGAGGAGTATGCCGGGCTGTTGGGGCGTGCGTGTCCGGCGCAGGTATACGAGTATGTGGAGGACGAAGGCTCGACTCAGGCTGCGGAGAGCGAGGGGTGGGGCGGAAAGAAGCTCGTCATTAATTCACAGGTGAGCATGTCCTTGGTATCCTGCAGAGTCAATGCGACTGATCGCATCCTGTCGCGCAGAATTGCATTCACTGCAAGCTGTGTGATATCAAGGTGCCGACGCAGGACATTACTTGGACGGTGCCCGAAGGAGGCGGAGGGCCAAAATACAGTGAGTGTTGCGTTGCCTCCGTCGCACTGGCCGCGCAAATTAACGTCGCACAATCCTTTAGGTGTAACATAAGTCTCGAGACGTATATATGCTACACAGTGCCAGAAGTTATACTGGGAACCTATCTATGTGCCATATTTCTACCATGTGCTGGCTGCAAAGACAAAGCGCAACTTATACTTCCTAAGTCCCACCGCGCAGGTGCAGGCCTCAAGCAGTCAATAATCGAAGATTATAGCCCGCACATCTCGAACAGAGCATGAGTGCAAGAGCCGTTATAACCCATGCACACGCGGGAGATCTCCCGTCCCCGCAGACTTTGTCCTAAGATGGCCCTACCATTTTACTGACCTTACATCTGCAGCCGAAGAGTAGTGATGATATAAGCCCGACAATATATACGTACATCCACCAGTCTGCAGACCTCGGCATATGTCTGCGCGAGAGCGGGCCATCCCTCACCACCTCAGCGGGCAGGCCGTCTGCGCCCTTGTGCAGACCAATGTCTGCTCCTCATGTGAGGCCAAGCATATCTGTGCGTCCACCCATATGCTGCCAGCCGAAGTTCGTGCTAGTGGTGTGCAGACTTTTTGCCTGCCATCGAGACAGCGTGGATAAGGAGTCATATGGCGAGGAGGGGAGACTCACCATCTACGAACATATTACGCGTAGCGCTCGGGAGCGTCGCAGTAACGCCATCGAGCTCGCGCGTGAGCTTCACCTGGCAACCGAGACGCGAGGTCTCAGTAAGGCCGAACGCCATGTCAAGCATGTCATTTTCGTCGTCCTAACATTGACAGCGGTGAGCGCGGAGCAGGGACCAAATGTAGGGCGGACTGACCTCAGGTTCGGGGAGGAGGTCAAAGTGTTCTGGGGTCAGGATAACGTGGCAGGTTGAGCATGCTACTGAACCTTCGCACGCGCCTGTGTGGACGGTCCGGTGGTGAGTGCCTGACCGAAGCGCAACAAATCCCTGTGGTCCGATTGGCCCCAGGAAGAAGACAAGTGAGATCGGGGAGATAGCGGGACATACCTTCGAGGTCAATGTCATATTCATGTGCAATGCTTAGGAGGTCGTCGCCCTCATTCGCTTCTACCGTCTTCAGGAGGTTGCCCTTAGAGTCTTTGAAGTGCACCTTGATTCTATGAAAGGTGGTCAACTGATGTGATGATTTGTGGAACAAATGGAGCGTACCCAGTGCCAGGTTCTGGTCGCGTAACTTCACCATGTCTTGCAACTGCGAGAGCACCAAGTCTGAGACACGACGGACGAAAGAGAGAACGCGCGACTCACTAGCACTGGTGTGGAAGTGACTACTGCCAGAAGAAAGTGCTCGGGAACGGACTGAATAATGCAGTCGGTGTTCGCTCGCCAAATGACCAAGCCTGCGAGGAGAAGAGAGTACGTGTTGGCGGTGATACTGTCGGGGTGACGAGCAAGCTGTAGGTGCTATAGTTTGCCGACAGCGAGAAAAGACCGACGACACAGAGCAACTCCTTAGGTTCATACAAGTCCCAACTGAAGCACTCGAGAGCCAGTTGAGGGAGGCCGGTGTCCGACCAGGCATTCCAGCGAGTAGATGCACGAGGCCGCCAAGACGGGAGGCTGAAAGACAACGGCACAGGATGAGAGACAGGAGATGAGAGACGAGGAGGAAGAGAAGGGACTGAAGTAGTCCTCGAGGAAAGAAAGAGGCCCAATGGGAGAAGGAGGATTGAAAGGAGGAGCAGACTTGTTATTCACGCAGGTCACGTGCCCGTACTCACGCGTCGCGTCGGCGCGTCGGCGTCGACCGTGCGCCTGTAGGTGATCTTGGACATTTCTCATCCGATATGGCCGCAACCCAAAACGAAAGTTCACCGCTCTCGGGAAATCCCGCTACATTCATGACAATGTGCTAAACCGAGAGCTTGCGATACATATACCTCCAACATCGGCGTCGTGACATGAATTGTGGGTTTGCAGACACAGTACGCTTTTCCGATTCTCTGAAAGACGACGAACTGATAAATTATAGCAAGGCCGTATTGACACCGCTTCTACAATAGTGTCTGAGAGCGTATTGTAGCAGAACAAAACAATCATTGCGCGGCGAAAGTTGTTTCTTCGACGAGACTCTCTAACCCTAACCCGCTACGTCATCGACCCTTGATACGTTGACGCACAAAGAACGCACTGAAACAACATCACGCTCAACATTCCTGTAGTTTTCAATCTGCGCATTCCTGTATCACAACGAACGACGCTCATGTCGGACAATATTGCCAAACCTTTCATACCGGAGATTGAAGACCCTTGTTTTTTTCACTTCGAGCCTCCACGTGATGATGCTGCATTCCACGAACTGAGGGAACACTACTCCAAGCTCAGAAGCGCCCCGCTGCTAAGGTTCACAGAGACGGACGAAGAACACGAAGCACGTATTGATGCCATCGCCGGCGAGCGCAAGGCCGTCAGTATTCCAATCACAGCGACCGCGCGCTGGAAGCCATCGCAGGCACCATGGTCTATCATCACAGAAGAGGGCCACCGTCCTGTCCCTGCCGTCGTTCGCCATCCTGATTTTCAACAACTTGATCAGCTTGAGTTTCGTCTCGTAGATGGCCTCAAGACAGGTCACCAGCAATGCGCTCAAGTGTACAAGGGAACACTGTCCTTGAGGTCGTCATCTGAACCGCCGGTTACTGTCGTCTTCAAGATATTTCAAGAGTGTTACATTCCATTGCCGTGGAACCTTCATCCGGAAATGGGCTTAGATCATGGGTTCTGGCCCGACGGAGCTCAGCAGGCCAGAGTACATACGTGGGCACACCAGCAGCTCAAGTCGATGCAAGGTACGCTTGCCCCTGCCAGGTGATCACACTACCTTGGTCGACTGATTGCGTGTCCAGGCAAACAGATCCCGTGGCTATATGGAGTATTCAAGGTATGCCTACTGCCAAATCCGCTGTGTATTATAAGCAAACAGCCAGCGCGTAGTTTAATCTGCCCTCAGAAGAGGCATATGGACTTGTGACAGAGTATGTCGAGGGAGTGCCTGGATACTGCGTTCAACTGGACTCGATATGGTCAAGTAAGGACGAGATGCGGAAGCTGGTAAGCATTCTGATGATTTGTAGGTGTCGGATATCTTAGTGATTGACGGAAGGCCGAATATGCTCTCTGTGCGACGCTCGATATGAGCGAGCGAGGAGTTGTACATGGTGACATCATGAAGCAGAATCTCATCATCCGACAAGGTGATACAAAATTCCCCATCGTGTTTATTGACTTTGGGCACGCAACGGCTGTCAAAGATGAGACACGTGTCAATAATGGCTGCCAGTAAGTCGTTTCACGAACCCAAGCCCGGAGTCTAAGAGAATGCTGGTCGGCAGGATACTTCAAGAACTCGTCCGGATGGGATTCCCAAAGGAAGTGCTTCGTGAGTGGTTGGAGGATTGCCGTAATAATTCGCCGTCTCAGCAACTGCAAAACTTCATTACCGAGGCACCCATAGGATATGGCTGGGAGAAATGGATGGAAAAGATTTTGCAGTAGATGGGAAATAGCTACGGAGTGCATGTCTTCTTTATGGATTGCTTCGAAGAACCAGACAGACTTGACTTGAGGTACAGCAATGCCACACTTTTGCTTCATTCACCGTTCGTATGTTAGTTGCATACAGCTGTCCTCGTGTCCGCCACCGCCACCACCACATCCGGCGTTGATCCCGAAATGAATCCGTTGGGCGCTCGTCGGGCGCCAACGATTCTGTTTATCTCCGTGACACCACAGATAGCGATGTTCAAGCGAGACTGCACTCCAGCCTTGCC